GCCACGGTGGCTACCCATACTCAAAACCTCTTCATGCCCCGTGCATATTTGTTGGGGCACTGATGACCAAGTGTGTCCTGCAGCAATTGCAAAAGACCTAAAAGAACGCGTTTGTCCTCAAGCACAGCTCACACTTATCGAAGGTTTAGGCCATTTTTGTCAAATCCAAGATCCTAAACGATGGAGCGAACCCTTATTGCACTTCTGGAGCAAAACTTGACCCAACACTGGCCACCCCAGTGGGTGTTGGGCGCGCTGGGTGGTGCTATTTTGAATATTATTCAAATTTGTTGTGATTTCACTCGCTATCAATGAGCCTTTATTTAGTGTTAAGAAAATCTTTCAAATCGATGTGATTGGTTATAGCGATGTCTTTTAGCTTATTGATAGCACTTAGCGTCATTTGGCGAATGCGTTCTTTTGTCACACCATACTCCTTGGCCAACTGATCATATGTTTTAAGTTCAGCCCCATTCACTCCAAATCGAGCCACGATAATTTCGTAATGTTTGGGTGATTGTTCGTAGAGCTTTTTTAATATCAAACTGATTTGACTCGTCTCTTCTTTACTTTCTAAAGTGGCTTCAGGGCTCTCGCTCTCATCCATCATGTTCTCAACAAAACTTTCTAATCCACTGTCTTCATCAAGTTTTTTGTCTATTGAGACCGTTTGTTCGCCCATTTGCAAGATGGCATGTATTTCTTCCACTGGTCGGCTGAGAAATTTTGCAATGGTCTCGTGGCTCGCCGCCTGCCCATCATTTTTCTCTTTTTCCAATAAATACTTGGCATCAAGAACATGGTATAAATCTCGCAAAACATGAATTGGAACACGCACGGTGCGTGATTGATTCATCACCGCTCTTGCTACACTTTGCCTGATCCACCAAGTGGCATAAGTAGAAAAACGTAGTTTACGCTGAGGCTCAAATTTATCAATCGCATACAACATTCCTAAATTTCCCTCTTCGATCAAATCCTCAAAAGGCACTCCCCGATTGATATAGCGTTTTGCTATACTAATGACCAGTTTCAAATTACTCTCAATCAAAGTTTGCCTTGCTTTTTCGTCACCTTTTTGTGACGCAAACGCCAAATCCTGTTCTTCTTTTGCACTTAAGATTTTTTTGCTGGCTATGCGATTGAGGTAATAACGTACCGTCTCTTCAGTAGCTGATCGACTTGTTTTGAGTTCACCCTCATCCTTGAACTCATCCACGTCCTCGTGTTCGTCCTCATCAAGCGGGTCACGTAAACCTTCATCTTCATAATCCAACTGCGACACATCGACATCAAAACTCAGATCTGTTTTCTCAGCCACCCCCTCTAGGGCTGGTTTCCACACCGAGTGTACAGTGGGCGTATGGGTTTCAACTTTTATGGTTTTCATTTCTACCTCTTTCTCGCATCTCATTTTTATGTATATAAAGCTTAAGCATGACTCACTGCTTATTACCGTTGTAACGACTTCTGTAGCAGTCAATTCATTCCATTTCTATGGCCAAACACTGTGCTTTAAACTTTTTAACTCAATTTAGTATCCAATTAAAATAAAATGCGCCTCTTTGCCTGTGAAAATAATTTTGGTCATAGTCATAATAAACAAAGAACGGTCGCAACCGTGTAGCACTTCGCAACTCCCTGTAACTGCCCCTGCTTTGGTTTTGTCAATACGTATCCACAAAAGCCAGCTAAAGAATGTAAAGATAGTTTTTGTGCATATCCGTGAGGAGGACAAGGTTACTTACCATTTGTTTATTAAATTCATGTTGCCTACTAAGGCAGCTTAACAATGCTGCAACGATAATGCCAGTTTTAATTCCCAATTTATGTAGTTTTCCAAGATAATGTTACCCCCACTACCTTAATTTGGTTATTTAGCAATAAATGAATGATTATTGTATTATTAATAATGTTGCCACATTCAACATAATCAACAGATTACGACAGTTTACTCTTGTATTATCGTTTACCCCAATATCTCAAGGTATTGTTTTTATTGTTATTAA